AGGTAGACTATCAGACACTCTGACTCTGCAGGAATCACTCCACTGGCCTGAAGACCGTACTTGAAATCAAGCTAGAACTCACCAAATTTGGGAGATAATTGTATACAAACATTAAAATGGATCTCAGAGGATGCATGCAGAGCACTGACTGCTTTCAAGATACTATTTCAAAACAAATGTTTGCTACAAAATATCTGAGCACATGTTTGTTCCCCTCCCCCTGGCACCAGCCCTTCCCCAACAAAGCAGCAACTAGGGGTAGGGATATATAGGCTATGCTTCCTCCCTTCTCTGCTGGCCACTGCACCAGTTATGAACAAGGCAGCATCAGGCCTTATACTTGGTGTAGAGTAGGATCATTCCTTCAGTTTAAAACTCAGGGTGACTGGAGTAGATCCCCTGGGTGCCTTTGTCCACTCCAAGTCTCAGTCTATCTAACACCATACTTGTCTAGTCTTTGTTGCACATTGACAGGTCTGGAGTCTGTTGGGTTCTTGTCATTTCTCCACCCTGAAAAGTGCTGGGTCCCAGATTGGCTGCTCCCAGATGTTCAAATATAGAAAAGTGATTATTTCAAATTAAAGAAACAGTCAATGAATAAATGATACCCTTAAACACCTTTTCTCCCAAAAGAAGAAATTCTCTCCAGCCCTTCTCTCTCATCCTTTGAAGCCAGGACCTAACTCTCTCTGTGAAAAGCAGCCTACCTCACAGAGAGGGAGATGTCCTCAGCATCAGAGGCAGGGGTGGAGACTTCTCTAAACTATCAATAGTTCTGCTCAGCTCACTATATGCCCAAGACACAACTTTTAAAAATGTCTTTGTCCTACCTATTCTTCACAGATGTAATAATGCTGTTTTTGTATAAAACCTCTAAAAACTGGCTATTTTTCTTTTACTGGGTTCCATATCTTATGGACCTCCGTGCACACAAAATCAAATTTGTTTTTTCTCTTGCTAATCTGTCTCCTGTCAATTTATTATTGGATCAACCAAAGGCAGTGAGTGGGAGATCCCTCAGAAACGTCTTCTAGATTCAATACTATTGCTTTGGGTCAGCCAAAGGAACAGAAAGAGATAAGGGGGCAACTCACCAAGAAAATATCCCCTGGAGAAGCACAAGCTTAACTCCCTTATGTCACCATGGAAAGGTACATAGAGACAGGTCATAAAGGACATGGAGGCATTTGTCTGGAACCCACCTCTGCCACTTAATAGTCCTGGATTTTATGCAAGGAACCTAACTCATCGTTAGATGGAAAACAAGACTTGATTAGGAGCTTTTGTGGAGCTCTTTAAAGTAATGTATACAATAGTTACTCAGTCATGGGTAGCTTCCATTTACTTTTTGACTGCTATTTTTATTCTTTCTCTAAAAACCATGATTTCCTGGAGGTATCAGTGCAGCTGGGATTGAGTTCAAGTTCATAATTCTCTTTGATAGACTAAGTGGGACTACTGGCCATTCTAGCAGAAAACTCACCCTAAAATCTTCATATGTCACCAGTGTTCTTTGTTATTTTCTTGTGACCACTAATATTTTAATTTTCAAGGAAGCAGAACCTACAAAAATTATGAGTGTCAACCTTAGCCAGTGTCAACAGCAATAATCCACATAACCCAAACCCTATAACTCTAGCTAGATTTATATCACAGAGAGAAGAGAGATATACAATGACCTGGTACCCTAGATTCCTCAGTCACAATATGGATTTCTAATCTCCAAGGGATGGGAAATACAGCAGCAGTGTACCAATTTAAAAAAAAAAAAATTGTAACAGTTCCATATTGAAGTGATGCATTGATATATTGGGTTGATTAGGAAGTATTATTAAAAGACACTTACTGCTTTTTAAAAAAGGCAACAAAGTAGAGAATTAAGCCCAAATGCATTAAGGCACCCTACTTACATGAAATTAATTTCTCTTCTATGCATATAGAACGGCATTACTTTCATACCACCTTAGGAAGACTTGAGAAAAAAGTCACTCAAATAATTTTCTATGTTCTGTAGTTCATAGGAGGAGCCCTGAGACTAATGTAAAACAATGGCTGATTATTAGACATACACCCTGAAATCAGAGATTATAAATGACTTATTCCATCTACTGCATATAGCAATGCTAAAGACCAGGCCACTCTTTACTAAACAGGCTCTAGAGCTATTTTAGAAACCTGTCTCCAAGAACCATATTAAAATATATCCTTTCAAATTTCCTTCTCTCCCACTCTTCTTTCTATCTTCCTCCTTCCGTTCTTCCTCTCTCTCCCATTGTCTCCAACAATGGAGACACCAAACAAAAATGGAATGATGTTAAGTAAGTTACAAGATATTCACTCAACAATTAAGGGCAAAGAAGCTTAGGAGTTACCCTCAGGGGCACTCTGCATTACATGAAGTTAGTGGTTCCTCTACTCTATGACCCCAAAGCATTCAATTCTTGGGCTATCTTTGTCCTAGAACTTATTCCACTGGATCTTAATTGTCTGCTTTTGTGTTTATCTTCCCACTGGATCATGATGGCAGTCAAAGAAATTTATTTCTTTCTAATCTCCATCTCTTAACAGTACCTGGCATATAAAAAACTTCAATACAGAAAAGGTGACTTATTCTGACAGACCAAAACTTATTTCAACATATTAAAAATAATTTAAGTGAAATTTTACACACCATCCAAATTAGCGTCCAAAATAATGTAGCACACAGAAAAGGGCTTAATTTTCTAATCTCTAAAAATGTTTAAAAGTGAACCATATGGTGTTGTATTAAAAGAAACTTCAAGTTGTAATAAATTTTATGTCAAATAACCCCTGTGGGTTAATGACTACAAACTCAACTGTTTACAAGACTCACTTAGGTAGTTAACTGAATTGAATGTGAATTTTGACAAACTTTTTTTTAGAGATTTATTTATTTATGCATACAAGAACTGGCATACAGGCCTGAGGTACAGGGGGTGAGAGGATTCACCAGAGGCAGAGTGGGGAATAGAACAGGCAGACCTACTGAAATACACTGCTGAGGGGAGCAGCAGTCGAGACAGGAGAGGTCTGCTGCGCCATGTGGGTTAGCTCCCTAACCAGCTGGGAACCGAACTCATGCTGTGGAGGCTGCAAATAGATTCATAGTGCTGTGCTTAACCCCTGTATACCACCAGGGAGGCCCCAGTTTTGACAGACTTTTGACTGGCATATGCCATGTGTAGATAGGTAGTCAGTCCTTAGCTCCAATCTATCATTGGGTGAGTTTTTCCAAAGATACCACAATTATGGATGTATGTATAAAATATCCCAGTTTATTCAAACATTAGCCCATGGCCTCAGAGTGTAATTGACTATATTTTTGAAAAATTAAAGCTTTCAGGAATGCACAACATCTATATATTGACCAAGTGTGTCAACTAGAAGATTCCTGCTTTTATTTTTTTTCTTTGTTACACCCCCAGGCACTTAGTTTAAGTGTCTGCAAACAATGAGGATTTTAGACACAGATTTTACCTGCTGGAAGATTACAGTTGGGAACAAAGCAGGTTATAAATAAATAAGCCACACAGAAAGCAAAATTGACTATTCCTATATTCTGTGCCCAAATTGGACATATTCCTCTCTCATGTCCCCTACAACTCTTTGTTGTCGGTTCTAGGCATTTATGAGTTTAAATTTTGCAATTTCAATTCTATGTTATCAGATCCAAAGGTCAATGATATACAGAAGAGTCTTTTTGCTTAGCTGTAAATGTGAAATATAAATGTTGGCAGATCAACATGAGAGACACACCCTAGCCCAAAGCCTAGCCATCCATCTCAACACACACTCTTCTGTTCTCTAATTAGCACATGTAGTAAATTTTATGAAGCTTTGAAAATATTTCTTTAATGAAAAAAATCTACCACAAGTTCTCAACACATGCAGACATGAAAGTCAGCTTTAGGACTGGGAAAAAAACATGAAAAAAGAAACAGAAGTGTTTGCCGTAAGTCAAATTCACAGCATTTATGTCAAGATTATCATTAGCTCCTTGAACGCTCACTTCATTTGGCATTCAGGACTTCATTTTTTCTTGGTGCTCCTTAAACATTGCTATTCATTCTCAGTCCTTTTTCCAGGTTCCTCCTCATCCTCCCAACTCTAAGCTGCGGAGTGACCTAGAGCTTGGTCCCTCCTCACTTTATACTTACTCCCCAAGGCATCTCAGGCTGACTGGTACAGGACACCAACCCAAAAGATTGGGTCTTCATCCCTCTAGGGAAAGAATTTGCCAGAAGGCACTAGGTTAGGCTGAATTAGGCAAGGCTTTATTAGAGAGACTCATTCATGAGGGAGGCAGTGTGGATGAGGAGACTATAACCTGGCTCCTGCAGGGAGCCTGGAGGAGATATTGAAAGGGTAGGTCCACACAGGGGAAGAAGGAGGTAGTGTGATAGCTTGTTCTTTGTAGGGCCATGCCTGGGAATGCTCAGACAGGTTACATTTTAACTCCCATGCAGTCTGCCTTCTCCCTCCTAGACAATTGTGAGATAACCAATAGCAGGATCTAACCTTTTAGTCTAGCATGGCACGGAACGGTCAGTGTGGTGGGCCAAATTGTTCAGGCAGGATTTAGTCCACCAGCTCAAACAGGACTTAGTGTTATAGGACAGGCAGAGGTGCACCCCAGAACCCCCAAACCTGCCTGCTCTAAATAGGTTCTATAATCCACCGCATCAAGACAAAACATTATCTAGTACATAAGACCTTCCATGGGAAGGAACTTTAATACAATTAGTGTGCAATACAGAAAAGGTAAAGAATATGGTTTCCAAATCAAGCACCTAAAGTTACCCATCCCCTCTTGGGTAAATGTCCAGCCAAACAGGGGTGGCCCAAAGCAAGGCCCAAAACCCTGTCACAAGTCTAAAGCACCTTCCGGTGGGAAACCATAGAAAAGGATCAGAAACAGTCAAACAAGTCCGGGAGGAAAAGAGCAAAATCAAAACCAAGATAAAAGCTGCCATTGTCACCTCGCCACGGCTCTCTCACCCACATCTGTTACCACCAGCCCAGGATGGAGAAGCAAGTGCAGTTCTTCACATGGCTCTCTGCTCCATGTGCCTTCTCTGGTCTCCTTCTTGCTCTCCATCCTTCTTCCTTTCAGCCTCAGTCTCTCCTCCAGCTTCTCCTCCTCTCTGCTCAGCTCCACCCTCCTTTGGGTGGGGCAGAGAACCTGGAACCTCCCCTTTCCCTGGGGACCCCCCTGTAACAGTTCCTGTGCATTGATCTGCAGCCTGACTCCTGGGAAGGGTCGGTGGAGTGGCGGCTCACAATCACAGACATACCTTGATTTGTATCTCTTCATCTCTCCTTTTGTCCCAGACTTGCCTGGTCCCTTTGGCCCCTTACAGTGGTTTCTTGCTGGAAGGTACCTTAGACTAGGGGCAAGCTTTTGGGTTTCAGCAGCCTGGCCTCAGGCCAACCCTATTTGACTGGGCATTTGCCCACGAGAGGATGGGTAATTTTATGGGGAAACTGTTATCCTCTCTTCTCTTCCCTCTCTATGCACACTAATTCTATTAAAGATTTATCACACTGAGTGTGCTTCCTCTGTTTTTATGTGGCAGATGGCAGGACCCTGTTTGAGAGCATGCACCCTGTTAGTTTGGGGTCCCTGGGTATCCCTTTGTCACAGGGTAACAAATTCAGTGATGAGTAGCAAATGGTTCTTAGAGCTTGGGGCTATATGGAATCTTAAAATCTTAGAGAAGTGACAAGACAAAGGAAAGGGGCTGAGCTTTCAGAGGCAGCAATTGTGAGAAGTTAAATATGTGGGGGAAATAATGGAAGATAAAGGTTGTTTTAACAAGATTTCTTATGTAGATTCCTCTGGCACTGATAAGCATCTAGAGTTGTCTCCAGTGATTAAGAACTGCCCTGCCCTGCTTTTACTCCAGTTATCTTTAACTCAAAATATCCTTATGCCAGAGTGGCATATTTTAGGGTGGCATACTCTGAACCCCTTCAAAAGCTGGATTATGCCTGTCGTCTATGCAAAACCAACCACAAGCTGCCCACCTCGTTCTTTATACAGGGTCATTAAGTTTGGAAACAGATAGTAATTTTTTATTATACTGTAATATTATATTAAGAAACACTTATTATATTCTATTCATCTGATTTTAGGTTTTTTAGCTACTATCAATTCCAAAATCCTTGCCAGGACCTACGTAACTGATGGAGGATACGAAAAGAAAAACTGGAAAGGAGATACAAGGTCAAGAACTTAACTCACACAAGGAGGTAGAAGTAGAGGGGATTAGCATAATCCATTAACCCAGTTATAGAAACCAAGGCCCTTAGGCATCAATGCCCACATAAGGAGGCGCAACACCCAGAAACTATCAGCCTGCTATAGGGAGTGTCAGGGGCACAAACCATCCACCCACAAAGATGAGCCCCTCCCTGAAGATGATAAAACCTAACTCTGTCCCCATAATGGGGCAACAGTCTTTCTGCCCACCTGTGACTATGCAGGTTCTTCCTGTCACCAACCCTCTCCCTCTGCAGGGACACAGATGGAGGACAAGAATAGAAAGACTGGAAAGGAGGCGCCCCAAGACCAGAACCAGACTCACAAGGAGGTGGGGGTTAAGGAGAATAACAGGACCATTAACCCAGCTTGTAGAGGTCGTGACCCTCAGGCACCAGACCCTTATCACAAGGCATGAGGCCCAAGCTGGATCAGATGGTACAGGGAGTGGAGCACAGGCCTGAGGGGAAAGATATGGAGATTGGACCCACCCTGGAATCTCCAGTCCCTTCCTGGTTTTGCCCAGTTATCCCAAATCAGCAACAAACAGGCCACTCCACGAGGAGTGACCCCTCCCAAACAGAAGGGGACTATATCAGGGCAGTCTCTGCACAGGCTCCGGGCAGCACTCCCACTGCCCACCTGTGACTATGCAGGTGCCTCTTTCCACCAACTCTCTCCTCTGCAGGGCAGCAGCCTCCTGCCTGCCTGTGACCTGTACCTGCCAGGGCTTCTCTTCACTGACCTCCCTCAGCGGAGGCCGCTCTCCTCAAGGCCACCCGCCTGTGACCATGCAGGACTCGCTCAGCAAACCTGTCCCTTTCCCTAATAAACCTGCCATTTAAATATAACTAACATCTCTGTCTCGTGGAGAAGCTCGCTTGGGGAACTCGCTGCGTGTCGCTGAAACGGGGAGCTCTGGGGACACCTTTCCGAGTGAGCCCAAGGACCCCGCACTCTACAAAACTCCATCAAGACCATGTACCATGCCCATGCCGGGATTTCTTCTCACTGACCTCCCTCAGCAGAGGCCGCTCTCCTCATGGCCGCCCGTCTATGACCACGCAGGCCTCTCAGCAAACCTGTCCCTTTGGGGCAGCTCTTCCCCATTTGTGTCTATGAAAGTATTTTTTACTGCCCTATCCCCTCTCTAATAAACCTGCTCTTTAAATATAACTGATGTCTCTGTTTCATGGAGAAACTCGCCTGGGAAACTCACCACGTGCTGCTAAAAAGGGAGCTCTGGGGACACTGTTACAGGGCAGGGGGAGGAGCAGCCCAAGATCTGTGCCACCATAGATAAGGTGGAATAAAAATTAAAAGGGGGGATTGTAACAGGGTGGTCCCCAGGAAAGGGGGAGGTTCCAGGTTCCCTGCCCCACCCAGATGGAGGGTGGTGCTGAGCAGAGAGAAGAAGCTGCAGATGAGACTGAGGAAGGAAGGAAGCAGGATGGAGCCAGAAAGAGACCTGGAGGAGGCACATGGAATGGAGAGACACGTGAAGAAACTGCGCTTGCCTTTTGGTCCTGGACTGGGTGACACAGATGTTGGGGAGAGACCTGTGGGGAGGTGACAATGGCAGCTTTTATCTTAATTTTGATTTTGCTCTTTTCCTTCCGGACTTGTCTGGTTATTTCTGACCCTTTTCTGTGGGTCCCCGCTGGAAGATGCTTTAGACTTGGGGCAGCTTTGGGGCCTTGCTCTGGGCCAATCCCACTTGGGTGGACTTTTACCCACAAGGGGACGGGTAACTTTGGGTGTTTGATTTAGAAACTAGATTCTTTGACTTTCCTGTCTTGTTTCTTAATTGTATTAAATTTCCTTCCCATTAAAGTCTCATGTTTTGTGTTGATGCGGCGGATGGCAGAACTCATTTAGAGCAGGCAGGTTTGTGGGGTCTGGGCTGCCCCTCTCCCTGCCCTGTAACAACACCTTTCCCAGAGTGAACCCAAGGGCCTGCACTCCAAACCCACAGACCAAAAAATACCCCATCACAACCATGTACCCTTTGTGATAGGCCTACATTTCTCCTTCCCTTTCATCATCACTTAACCTCCCCTCCTCTTGTAATGACAGCCTGCTTCCTGGCTCATTTGAACAGCACCCAGCTCATTCTGCTTCAGGGCCTCTGCAGTTAGGAGTTCCCCAGATAGCTATAAGGCTCACTCCTTCTCTTTGCAAATGTCACCATAACAAAGAGGCCTCTCCTGACTGCCCTATATCTCTCTATATCCCCTTAACAGAGCTTATTCTTCACTGCCTTTATCACTATCTGGCATAAATGTAAATTTCATGAGAGTTCCTGACACTTAGTAGATGCTCGATAAATATTTGTTGAATTAATTAATAGCTTAATTAATTAATGACTCTATGCATTATAAAGGACCTGAATGAGATTAATTTTTCAGTTTTAACTTATTCATGTATGGGGAGGAGTAATAGGCTATGGAATCAATCTCAAAAGTTTTAACGATGCTTCTCTTGTGAATGTCAGGGATTCTTCTGTATTTGGAGCTTCTAAGGACAGACACTATGCCTTATTCATCTTTACATCCCCAGAACTACCAAAATGATCTGCATGTAATGGGTGCCTAATAAACTACTGTGGCATTGTTAGGGGGAAAGGATGTCCTGAACTAATCCCATATAGGCTTTGTGGACTCTACCCCCACTCCAGACTAAAGCCATCAAGACATTGGGAAAGACAAATCCCATCACCACCAAGGAAAGGGTGGCTGGGACCTGAGGGTGGAGTTAAGCAGCCAGGTTAGATATAAAAAGCAAACACGTGGGCCTTGGGGGGCTGGCTGTCGCTTGCCTCCTGGCTACACAGCTCCTGGCTCTTGGCCAGCTCTTAGAGCACCATTTTGGTATTCCTGATCCACAGATCTGGTAAGACTCATTTAAAACTTTGTCTCCCACTTTTCTCCCTAAACTGTACATTTCCTCATTTCCCCTTCCCTTGTAAATAAACCTTTATTAACCTTTCACATGTGCCTACAGTAAAGCATTAATAAGTCCTTTTAAATGCGCGGGTGAGGACCCACAGTCAGGCACCCCGTTTTGTATCGGGGTTGCTCTACAACAGCATGATTAAGTATATGACCAACTAGTATTTTGATCAATTGAAATCAAACAAAAGAAAGCAAACAAAAATAAGAAAGTATTACACATCCCCTTTGACTTTTGATGAATGTGGGCCCACTTCCTTACGGCACAGGAGCCAAAAACCATACCACCAGCTTTTTTTAAAAAAAAAAAAAAAAAAAAAAACAGTTTGAAACAAGGTCACCTGGCAGGAAACTGAGAAAAGGCTCAAATCGGTTTCCCTGAGGATGGGATTTGGGCGGCATCTCTGGGGTTAAGGAGAAATAAGTACAAAAAATATCAGTAGGTGGAGTCTGCTTGGTTGCTTTCTGCTGAACTCAAATTAGGGTCCAGAATTGCAATGAAACTGAGCACCCTTCACTTCTGAATGTTTCCCCGGTAACTGTGAAGCAGGCATCTCATTCCCATCTTCCTTGGCTCTCTTTCTGGACAAGCAACGAGAGATTCTCTTGAAGACAGCGATTGCTCCGCTGGGCCTGTGCTCTGAGACAAATGTCCTTTTACGACAAATCTGTCTTTTCCTCATTTAAAAATGGGTCAGGGTGTGCCTGTCCCATTGTTTCACTCTCCCTAGCCCACCCTGCTGTTCTTGCAACACAAAAAGAAACAGGGAAAAAACACTATAATCTCCATAATTTCAACATTGTTGCAGAAGGAGAAAGAAAAAACCTAAATAAAAAAATATCTTCCTAAGAGACACAGGAAGTTAGTAGATGTTAGAATTTTTGTCTCCCTAAATAGGC